GTGCATTCTGGAGTGGCTGCAGCCCCCTCCGTAGCCCCCTCCCAGCACTGCTGCCACCTACCTGAGCACAGCCTGGCCCAGCCCTCCGCCAGAAAGAGCCCGGTGCAGCCCTGGCCCCAGCCTGCCCAGCGCACAGCTCCAGGAGCACGCCCTGCCCCATGCCCCAGCCCCAGCTGGGAGCTGCTCACAGCTCCATCCACCCTTCTCCCAGCTGTGCAACACCTGCCCCAGCCCCAGCCCCATTCTGTCCCTCACTGCGGGGGCCTATGGGAGTGGGGCTATAGGAGGGCTGCAGCCACTCCAGAATTCACTGTAGCCCCCCCAAACTGCCCCTCCCAGGGCTGCCACTGCCACCCACCCTGAGTGCAGCCTGGCCCAGCCCCCATTAGGAAAAGCCCAGTGCCACCCCTGCCCATAGCCACAGCCCACCCTGCCTTGTGCACAAATCCAGGGGCATATGTCCCCAATGTTTCCTGGGGGTGTGCATAGTGGCAGGGGGGGGGGCCCACCCCCCCCCCGGCTCAGTCCCGCAGCCCTTTCCCCTGCCTCTGCCCCAGCCCCACTTCCATTTCCTCCCCCACTGCTGGGGCAGCCCTCCCCACCCTGCGTGCAGATCCAGGGGCGCATGCCTCCCATGCTCTCCTGGGGTGTGCACAGCAGCAGGAGCCACCCGCCTCCCCCTGCGCCTTCCAGACAAGCCACTCCCAGCTCCGTCCCACACCTCACCCCGGCTGTGCAGCGCCTGCCCCAGCCCCAGCCCCACTCCCTCCCTCACCACAGGGGCCTCAATCTGCAACACCCGCCCCCCCCTTAAAAACAAGAAAAAAAGGTAAAGGTTTACAGGAGTTGAAACTCTGAGTCAAAAGGGGTGCACTTATTTTAAAAGGTTGAAAACCCCTGTGATACTACATTCAACCAGGTTTATCTTAAACCAGTTTCAGCCATTTTGAAACTGGTTTATGCATACTGAACTTATGTTCTGTTACATGTTTAAACCAGTGTCTGATCACTTAAAACAGTTTATGTGTAATGTCTGTCCCTAGCCTAAGAAACAAGAACTAAATTGATATCAGGTTTATGGCGCATTATATTTTGTCCAAGTCCTGAATTCTTTCCACACAAGGAAGATAATGGCCCTCATCCCTTTTGACAGGGCTTGATTTCCCAGTAATCAGCTTCTTTTCTTCTGCTAATTGTATGTCTGCTACCCTTGAGAATTTCTCCCAGCCCCTCTCCTCTGCTTTGTTTCACCCTGCTGTGCCTCGCTTCCTGTGATCAGAGACAAGCTTGTCTAACTTTATCCCAGCTACATCGTTGGTCCAATAAAAGATATCGCCCTAAGAAATTTTGCCCCTCTGAATTCTGTGACATTTTCAGCCCAGGCTGTCTGACTTGCCCAGGGCTCTGGACTGAAGCTTAAGGGAAGATTTCAGTGGAGCTGGTAGCTTGCTCACTTTGCAATGAGGATACAAATCGAGTGTTAATAGTCCTCCAGTGCCTTCCCACAGTTCTCCCTGTGCATTCAGGAGGATAGACAATCCTTTCATCATTCACTGGGAAAAAATCAGTGTGGTTCAGCTTAGTGAAACACAAAGAATCATGGCACATGCTCCCAAAAGGTATACCAACACATAGGAGAAGCCATCACTTGCTTGGACACAGTAACTCAGGCACAGCTTTGCAACATGGTTGTTGGCACCCAAGTGGTGAAGACAATAGCTTAAATGGTTCCTGGAAGGTCATCCAGATGGTGGACCTGGAAACTGAACCCAAGGTTCTTGCATTCCATCTCTTAACTACAAAAGCATCCTTCTTCCATAAATTCTGACTGGGTGGAGTTGATGCTGCTACTGCATGTCAATGAATGTGCATCTTTCCTAGCTTAAATCCAATCGGATGACTTTCATGAGTAACAGAATTATTTTCTTGCTGAAAAGGGCACCTATACACGTGCCCGACACATGCTCTGATGCTTGTTATTTAGCATGTTATCTGATGCAAGTCTGCTGGAGCGTGCTAATTAGTATGCACCAGCAACCTCTGTATCATGTGTATTCCATGTCCCACCATTCAGAATGGTGGCAGGGGCGCTTTAACTAAAGCTTGTAGAACGAACTTTACTTAAAGCACCCCTGCCACTATTTTGAAGCATGGGACACTTAATACACTAGATGCTGTGGGCGCTTGAATTGGAGCAGCTCCCAAGAGCTGCTCTAATTAACCCCCCTGGATCACATGTAAAGGCGCCTGTAGACTTTTACTTTTCCCGCGGGTTTGGTTTTTGCTTTCAGTTTTGAGATTGCATTTCAGTTTTTTGGGGGGTTTTAGCCAGTAATTGTCTTAGTGCTTATTTCTGCTACATAGTTTCAAAATAATTTCTCACAGTGGAATTTGTAGCATAGAAGGAAATAAAAGAAATCTTATCTGAGACTCTTGTCTTAGTATTGATCCCACTTGGTAAATATATATAGTCTCTTCTGTCTCAGAGTATATTTTGTGAAGGCTAGAGAATAAAGTATTCTTCTCCTTTGCTTTCTGTCGTGTGCTTTGCTCTCTCTTATGTGTGGCTGGGGGGTGACTTCCAATGGAATAGCATTTATGAAGCTGTTCTCATCTACCCTCTCATCCTTGAATAGAGAAAAGTAGTTAGCCCTATGAAGTTAAGCAGAAGGCAGAGGAGGATGGCACCCAACAGACTAACTCAGTCACAGCTTTCATCAGTTACAGCCTACTTAGTCTATGGGTATTAAACTCATCAGACCCTGTAGGCCAGATGAGTAGTGCAGGGCTGGTCCACTGGCTGAATGAGTGATATGGGACTGGTCCTCACACCAGATTGGGTCCACAGATTGGCCCCAAGCACCAGATCCAACACACGGAGCCAGTCTGGTGCAGATGCTGCATACAGTGAGTTCCCTGGACCAGCCCCACATGATATGTGCAGTGCAGGGGCTGGTCTGGCTTGTACTGCATGCAGCATGCGGATCCAGTCTCAGATTCATGGGCAGCATGGCAAGACAGATGATAGGGCTTTTCAGGCCATATCTTTGCCACACCTGCATAATCTGGTGGATGAGCATTGGAAGAGCTATACTAACTGCTTGGCTCTGGATTGGCTAGGCCTGAATGTTGGTAAGGTCTGAAGGTTACAAAGCCAAATTTAGTCACCTGAATAAGTTCAAGACTGAGATTTTTAAAGCGGTGTGAGGAAGACTCACAAATCCACTAAATGTGCTTTAGTGCCTTAGCAAAAAGTCTGAATCATTCCAACCATTCCTTCGAGATGGTTCTGACATTTTCACGATGGAAAACTCTGACTGAATTCTGCATACTGTAATAAATAGGATCTGACATGCCGCAGTAAATAGAAACTAGCTTTTGAGATGTGGAAATGGTTCTTTAGTGTTCCATAAAGGAAAAGGAGATGGAGCTGTATATTTGAGAGACAGACGGAGAGTAATAACTTGGGATAGTAGTTCTCTGATATGCTGCACCCTAAGCAATGGAGAACAGACCACACACAAACTATTCTGAGCAGTATGTTCTTTTATCAGATACTTAATGTGGGGACCTCAGCTGCCTTATTGTTAGAGCTAAGAGTCGACAGGAGAGATGGATCCCCTGGCATATCCGTGAAGAGCATCCCAGGTAGGTAGTGTGGCATGCAGATGATGTGGAAACCTAATGAAGTGTTAAGAATTAATTCCTGCTTTCTCCATGACTGCTGTGCTGGTCTTTGGTTGTTAGAAGAGTACTGCTGCCTCAGGCAGGGGGTTGGACTAGATGACCTCTGGAGGTCCCTTCCAGCCCTACTTCTCTATGACTTTATGACTCCAATTAATGGATGGATGGAGTCAAGATGGCGTGGAAATATATACGTGTGGTTTCTACCACAGCAGCCTAGAGAATAGCTTTCACTGAGACCTTAAAGATTCCTTTTCATCAGGGGTGTCAAAGATACAGCTTACAGGCTGGTTCTAGCCCATGGACACCCATCATCCGGCCCCTGGTGCTGGCCCTGGGTCTCAGAGGTGACTGACAGGCAGCATGTGGGGTGTGCCACATGGCCCCACGTGCCACACATGGTGTCCACTGCAGCTCACACCCCAGAGAAGCAGAGTGGCCCCCACATGTAGCTGAGCCCCAGAGTGGTCAGAGTAGGATGTACCACACATAGCACATACTTTGGCCACTCCAGGACATGTGCTGGATCCAGAAGGTAGGACCGGCTGTGTGCCACTCATCCAACCTGTAGGGCCAGTTGAGTTCTAACCCCTGCTTTATGACGTAAAACCCACCACACATCTGCAAATTTCTGCTAAGCTAGGGGCCATAGTCTTCGGGGTGGGGGTGGGGGGAGCTCCAGTCTTTATAATGATGTAGTATCAGGCACAGGATAAATGTAAGATGGAAATAACAGCGTTTGTAGATTGTATTGAAGGGTTGTCAGGGAATATCAATGTACTGAGCTGAACAGAAGATCAGGTCTTCAGCTGATGTAAATCTGACTTCACAAGACTCATGCTTCTTAGTTAAGCTCAGGATCTGGCCCTAAGTGCCAATATGAATGCATGTGAGCTTATAGGCATATCAAGCAAGGAAGGACATTTCTTGCCCTGCCCTTGCAACCCCTCCAGTACTGTATTCAGTGGCTTTGGTACCACAGTCTCAGATGCTTCGTGGTGCTTGACCAGAGAATCCAAAACATGGTGGCTGCTAAAGAACCTTTATTAAACTCTAGCAACATGCAGGCAGAGAATAAAGTACAGTAGAAGCTACTTACATAATTTATGTTCCAGCTAGTGTTCCCCCACCCCCAATTTCACACACAGACATTGCTCTTGATTACATGAATTGCTTTACCATGACTTTAGCTGCTTCTGTGGTTTCACCCCCTTATAATTTTATCCTAGAAGGAGATTCAATAGCTTCCTTATTTATTTCTAGGCCAGGTATAAATGGGGTTCACCCCACCACACTGCAGGTTCAGTCGCTGGTGCCTAGTCAAAATTGGACTCTTCATCATTCTTTGCAGTCAGCTGCTTGGAGGCAGGGCAAATGTATTGGCTAGTTACTTGAGCTGCTTCCCTTGCACTGCTGTCTGAGCCACTGTAGTAGAGAAAAGAACCAAAGGGTACATCAGTACACTACGCAGAAATTAGAATAGGCTGGTGGTGAAGCTGACTTAGAAATCAGAAGGAAGGGCCAACGAAACACCAGAGAACTGTGGTGCTCAAATTGTGGTAGCCCACTACTGCCAAGATCAGGTGCCCACTGTGTTGGGCATTGCACAAGCACAGAAATGAGAAACAGCTCCTGCCCCAAAGAGCTAGCATTCTACCTGGACAAAGAATGTGAGGAAAGAAGAAGCATTGCCTCCATTTTATAGGTAGGGAATTGAAGACTATGGAGAGCTTAAGTAACATGTCCAAAGCAACACTGGAAATCACTGGCAGAGTCAGGAGCTACACTCAGATGTCTTGAGTCCCAGTCTAGTGCCTTAGCAATGGCCAAGTCACCTCTGCTGCAGCATCAACAACTTTAGAAATTAAATCAGCATGACACAACATTCAGAACAAACCAAATCAGTATGCTATAGAAAGCTTATCCTAACTTAATTACATTAGACCAGTTTCGCATCAGTAGGCAGAAAATGGCTTGGTCCAAAATCAGCAATCTCTCCATTATCAGAGGAATATTTTATTGAATTTTCCCAATTTATTATTTTTATTAACTATCTGTTATACAGCACTTTGTGCCCACAGATCTCTAAGGAAGGTGTCCTCTGCACTTTAAAAGAGGTGAAATTGAGTGTTAGGGTGTTCCAAACACTTACCTAACTGCAAAATTACCCTGAAGAATTGCACAGAATTTGGCAGCAATTATATGAAGACAGTGATATTCTAACTTGCCTCGAGAATACAGAATTGTCTCCGAGGACTGTGCAAACAACAGCTCTGAGTTGTGTGTCTTGTTAGCATAACACTGAATGTAAAAGAGTTTGATACAGACTCAACAATAAGCATAAGAAGACAATCCACCAGGAGGTGAGGAATGATGCCAGCTTGGTTTTAACTTAAAAAAAAATCTATGGATCAGATCTACAGCTCATACAAATCAGTCTAGCTCTTGGTCCATTGACATAGCCCAAGCACTTCCGATTCACACTCAGAGAATCCAGCTTGTAGGCTTGGTGTTAATCAATACGAACTAATAAATAGCGAGTTACACGCAGCTTTGTGAAAAGTTAAGGGACCAATCCTGAGAGTGCTTGCCAAGGCAAGTAGCCCCATTGATACCAGTAGTTCTACTCATGTGACCAAGTTTTTGTAAGATCAGGCCCTATCCTTCCATTTAAAATGAAGGATTGCTAGTATATATTCCTACAGCACAGGTTTACCACAACACACAGTTCAGTTCATTCATTTTCCTCTTTTACACTCTGTTTTAAGGCTATCTTTATTGCTCTTATAGTGATTTAATAGAAACTACCAGAATGTTACATTTGTAACACTGGATTTAATGCAAACCACCCTCATTCCTTATAATTAACCACCATTACTTTAAAACATTTGCAAACCCATAATAACCACCACTTGAGACTACCGGCATAGAAACCGTAGAAGTGTGGCTAAGCAGAAGGCCCCCAAAGCCTGTTCCTCAGTAACCATAAAGTGAACCTTTGTAAATATGACAGCTATCTTGGTCAGCAAGGTAAAGGAAGCCATCAACATATCTAACTCAACCAGTAATCAAATACAATTAAACAAAGCACAAGGCCTGAAAAGAGACATTACCATTCTGGACTATATAATCTAGAAATACTATACCATAGCTTTAGTTTATGGTAATTGATGTAACCAAATGTATTAGATGCTGTTTTGCTACAGTGCTGTATTTTTGTTAAGCTTCTAAATAAGTTGGAGAGAAACAAAGCAGCCTTGTTTACAGACTACCATACATTTTGGGGAAGAGAAAAACAGGATAAGGGCCAGCCGTATTCCATAATGGTGAAGGAAGAAGATAAAAATCCTTCCCTCCAGGAGTGTAATTTTTATAGAAGCATAACTCCCAGCTAAGTCCAGTTCCAAAAGTTTCAGTAAAAACAAAGAAATTTAAGTAAAGCCAATCAGCGGTCATTTATTAGAACCAGCCCTCTATAAATATGGGGTATAAGCTGGAGGGAAATTTTTAAAAGTCAGCAAATTCAAAAGAACCTGCTGCTGATCTGTGTGCCACCACCCTCACACCTCTCAAGTCTCCTCAGCTGGTATAGATGAGACTCTATGTTGTGCTGTCACAGGCAGCCAGATACACTTTGGGATACATGTCTGGTTTTTGCGTTTGGAAGTGCAAGTAAATAAAAGATCAGACTACAAACCTATTTCTGCCTCTTTTATCAGTAGCCAACCTGCAAGGTTACCTGTAATCTGGGTAACAGTATTCAGTTCTACAACATGCTTAAGAATGGGACTTTCAGAAGCACTTAACAGATGCAGGTCCCAATATTCAAGGATACTTAGCCACTTTTAGATTCAGGCAGGTGCCTAACCTACCTAGGTGCTTTCAAAAATCCCATTGGATACTGCAGTCCCACTAGTTTCTGCTGGGAGTTAGGCACCTAAGCAGCTTAGTGAGATCTCCAGAAATGCATCCACACGGATCTATATCTATAAAGGACCAAATTTACAAAAGGGTTTGGGCATAAGTAACCTGTGCTCCTTCATCTTGAGAATCCCACTCTAAGCACATGCCCAGCTTTGTTTTTGTGAATAGCCCCAGAGAAGACACTGACAAAAGAGAAGCATAATACAAATAGAGATATGAGCCTGAGTAGCTCAGGTGATAGAAGATAAAGCTATTCATCAACAAGTGCTTTGCTAAACACTTCAGTCCTTTGAGGGGAGAGGAGACTGAGCAGCTAAATTTGGCCTATCTTCAAAAAAGCAATCTGAAACTTCCCTTAGCTCCCAGTCCTAACCCTCGAGGCCCTTAAACTCCATTGATGCCATACATTTTTAACCTTAAAGTGCTCTTTGAGCCTTTAAAATATCTAGGGTTCTGTTTCTGCACATGTGTAGAAATCCTTCAATCTGAACAGCTCAGCCTTCAGCCCACACTTAAATCCAATCCAGACTGAGGCATTTCAGGCATATTTTGAGCATACTTTACACAACCACCTTGAAAAGATCATCCCCCCCTGTTCAAACTAGTTGGAAAGGTAGAGGTACAGAAGATACCCATCTTTTATGTAATGGTTTACTGGTTAGAGGACTTACATAGGAAGCGGGAGACCTGGGATTATTTCCTTCCTCTGCATTAGAAGATTGGATCCCACATTTCCCTCCTGCTCAGAGAAAACCCTTAACTACATGGTAACGTGTGCTTTCAGGTGGAGAGATGCTTTCATTCTCTCCTTGTCAGAGCTGAACTGTTTTAGAGCCAGTAATTCACAATTTATTGGTTCAGAGAGAGGGAGCCTGACTCTAGCACAGCACTGAAGGCACTGCTTTGGGAAGGGGAAATTTGAACTCCAGTGTGTTCGTATTTCACATGAAACACTGACTGAATGGGATGCATCAACCAGCCCAGGAGCAGGAACCAAGTGAGAGTCTGAATTTCTAGGCTACAGAGCCAGGTTCTTGTTTGTGCTCTGTGGCTCAGCGAATCTTGGGCAATGCAGAGTCAGCAGGGAGTAATGGGGTGGAGAGTGCCTCTGGCCCCCGGGCGCTTTACAAGAAAGGAGAGACCACCACTGCCTTTTGCAGAGAACCTCGTCCTGTCAGTGGTTATTAGGTGTGCTCTAAGGCTGCGTAACATTTCAAGCCCCACAGGGGACTTAGAAGTCCAATGAGACTTTGGTGCAAGTCCAGTGCTAAGCTCTTTAGCTCTGTCATGACTGAGGCACTTCTGTACATATGGACTAAGCAACCCTGACATAACAAATTGCACCATCTCTGGAGTTTAGACCTTTCAAGGATTAAGAGGCAGCTGATCTGGATGTTTTCAGGAGTGTAATGTAGGATTTAGGTACATAAATTCCATCTATACCCTTTTCTTGGGTTTGTTTTTTTTTATTTGACCCCCAGGTACTATGGTGATGTGGTCCACAGAAGGATTTAGATCAGAAATTCACTGTACATACCTATCATTCAAAAAGCTCTGGTACAACCACATGAAGCAAAAGTCATTGTAGTGGCTGTCACTCTCATATTTCCCTGGTATGGCTATGCTGATGAATCCCTGAGAGCCATCTTCTTTATCACTGATTAAGGAAGAGAGGAAGGGAGAATTCAGTTAATGAAGATGATGAGGCAAAGTTTTGGAACTAAAGCTGGACATTATAAGGTCAATGTTGCAATGAGACAATGCTTTTTGTACAAAGGCCAAGCTGCAAGGAAAAAGATACTGCCATTGGAGCATAGCAACCACTGCAAGAGAAGCTACACTAATTCCTTTTGTTTTTCCAGGGGATGTCATGTTTAGAGGAACCGCCATGCTTCCTAAATTTGACACATTTATCCTTCCTTCCTTTTTGCACCCTTGTGCAATAAGGTATTAAGCAGAATTCACAGATTTGGCCATGAGCGCTTCAGCTCTGGCCTCAAATTAGCAACCTCTGGGCTATTAACTGCACACCTTAGTGCCTGCACCACCCTAGCTCCCTGTGCATTTTTTATAGCTACAAATGCAATCAGAAACAAGTTCCTGTATAGCAGGAATCCTCACTGTTTTGCCTCCTGGTTTTATCATAATTAAGAGCTACCTGGAATTGTGGTAGCACTTGGAGACATCTAGTAGCTGGATAATACATTACAAGAAAGAACTATCTACATAGGTGGTAAGAGAGGGTATGTCAGCATGGCACTATGCAGTACCATATAGAGATACCTGAGCTAACAATGGCAGCAGAGCCTGCTAGCTTGAGTGGAATTAGCTTGGATATCTCTACAAGGCACAGCAGACATCCCTCAGTTGCATCTTTCCCAGAATGGTACAAGTCACCATCTTGTGTCTTCTGCCCTTGCTGCCTATGAAATCAGTGATTGCATGATAATGATAAATTGGCATTTCTTTATTGAAGGTGAATGGGAAGAGTTGCGCTTGGGTCTGAAAGCTAATGGCAGGGGTGACATAGGGGAAGGTGCATGTATCACTGAAATCCATTTTCATTTCCAGAAGCAAAATTGGGCCTATATTAACTCACTGCTTCTTCCACATGAGCTCATTTCTGCCCCTTAAATAGGTATGGCCTGAGCCAGCTGCTAAGCTGTGCAGAGGCTCTGCTTAGGGTAGGCCAGTCAGTGCTCATTCACATTGGCTCTCTGGCCCTTGCTCATCATTGGCTCTACCTGCCTAACTCTACCCTCAACAGGGTATAAATGGACTAGGGCAGGCCATGACTGCTTGAACCTCTGCCCCATGCAACCAGGGCCCTCACTCCAGACCAACCATAAAAGGGTTAAGAAGACTTCTGCTGAGTGTGTCTGCTTCTGATCTTAAGTGTCCTCACTAAGACTCAGCCTTATTTCCAGTTCCTGCCCTGGACACTGCCTGTCTGGCTTTCTGTTTTGGCTCTAGCCTTACCCATCCGCTTCCTTTGAGTTCCCAGACTCAGTGTAGATTGTGGTTTCTGACTTTGGCTTGCTCTTCAGACTTTGGTTTAGGACCCAAACCCCTGATCTTCAGTCCTGCTCTAAGCCTTGCTCTGGACTCCAGCCCCGATGGAGCCAAGAACTCTGAGAGAAGTCAGTGCCTGAGCACTAACAATTCAGCATTGTGTAAGGTGAACTTTTGCACATCATAGCAACAGGTTTCAACTAGTCTCCTAAAGTTCCCCATAGTGTTCACTGTTTCAAGGACTCTTTGTAGCATTTCCTTGGCTGTTGCGGCAGGCATGTTGATGATGGTTTCAGCTTTACTGTGGTCTGCCTCTATGCTTAGCTGTATTATCTTCTCTCCCAGGTGTGCTTTTTCCCTTACACAAGACTTGCAATTTTCTTTGGCCACACAACACTGTTGGTTCTAGCTGGCTCTTGTGAGAACCACTTAAAGGTGCAATTCCCCACAGAAGAAATGATAAGGCAGGGAAACGGTAATGTTATTTCTTCCACTGCCTCTTATACACTGGCCTTATAATGCACAGCAGCCATTAGCTCTGGACGCAGTTTCTCAGCATCTTGACATGGCTGGAGCTACGTGGTGGGTCGATGGTCACTCAAGGGGATGACAACAGGACAGAAGACAGCAGCATACCAGAGAATGTCTCTGTGTCCCTCTATAGCAGTGCCATTGGGAGTTTGTTTCCTTTGACTAGACAGATTTATGGGGATAACTTAGTAGAGAAACTGAGGTCAAAGGTTCTTGTGGTACTGAGAAAGCCCAGCTAGTAAGGAAACAGGGTTAATTTCTCTCCTTACCTTCCTCTGAGACTTTGTACATGGTGCAGGAAAGCCTTCAGTTTAGTGAATATCTCTTTTGAGTCCAAGTCATTTTCAGCTTGATTGATAAAGCCAGTCTCCTCCAGCTGTCCCTCTGCTCCAGATGGTTCAGGAACACTAGCAAAGAAGTGTACAGAGGAACAATACCAAAGCATTATTCTTCAATGTCCTCATTACCTTCCAAATGCTGTCACACCAATTCACAGAGAGGTGAGTGGATCCCCAGTTGATGCCAGTTGATGTAGTGCCACTGAAGTCAGGTTTACCTCAAGAGAGGACCTGAGACTTGTTTGTGAGAGTGGCTCCATGCGGCATCTCTCAGAGCCAAGTTCGCTGGATCAGCTGAGTGTTGTCATTGCAACAAGCTAAGATTCATAGAAGATTCATAGATTCATAGAAGCTAAAGGCTGGAAGGGACCTCACGAGATCATCAGGTCCAGCCCCCTTGCTCTCAGGCAGGAAAGACTGCTGGGGTCAGATGACCCCAGCAAGTCGTCTTTTGAAGATCTTCAGGGTAGGTATCTGCACCACCTCTGAGGGGAGTCTGTTCCAGACTCTGGACACTCAAATCATAAAGAAGTTATTCCTTATATCCAATCTGAAGTGATCTCCTAGCAGTTTATGTCCATCATTCCTTGTCTTCCCATGGAGTGCCTTGGTGAACCGATGTTCTCCCACCCCCTGATGTTCACCCCTTATAAGATAAACAAGTATCCTGCTCAAATTCAAACAGATAGCTGTTTTATGTGTCCAGAATGCCACTCATAATTAGTAAATCCCAGACCTGTTTAGGAACTATCCATTAGGCTGATTCAGCTCAAAATTTGAAATTTCTCAGACTGCTCTTTCTGATGAGCTAAGCTCTAACAAATCCAGTGGAGTTTAGCAGGTGATGTGGGTGTCTGCACAGCTGGAGTCAGTGCAAGTGTTTTCAAGAATTTTAAAACTATCATATGGCTTGTCACATGGCTCTCGGTAATGGGGTAGATTCTCAATGAAGTTATGGTGATGGGAACTCATTTGTGGATATGGCTTTCTAATTTTAATACACCTCACTCCACTACCACATCTCTCCATTTCATTCTGTCCTGGTTTATGTAGATAAAATGAGTTCTTCACAATGTACAGCTACGCTGAGGGGAAGTGATGTAACATCCCATTACCCCCCATGCAGAACCGTGAAGTAAAAATCTAGTGCATCAGGAGGACTTTCACAAGAAGTGAATCACTTAGAGCAGGGGTACTTGGCCTCCAGCTTGCAGGCCAAAAGTGGCCCATTGGGCTCCCTGAAGGTCAAGAAATTTGGCAAAGGGGGAGCAGTGGCCATTAATACTATCATTCTCCTCCACTGCCAAATCCCAAGCCCCTCCCTGTGAAGAGCAAGATTGGGGCTGAGCCAGGACCCCCTCCTCCTATGCAGCTGAATTGGGGTCAAGCCATGTCCCCTTCCCCCGGCTGAATCGGGGCCGGGCCATACTTTCTTCCCCCCTGTGCAGCCAGGGTGAGGCAGGCTATGCCCTTTTCCTCCCATGTGGCTGGGTTGGGGCTTGGTGACACCCTGTTTCCCCATGCAGCTGAACTGGGGCCAAGCTGCCCCCGCCCTCCTCTTTGCAGCCGGATGGGGCGCTGCCATGCCCACCCTAGGCACCAAACCAGTGTCACTGTCTTGATCTAGTCCATGGGTGGGCACTGCCCATCCAGCTCACTGAAGCAAAAGGTTGAGCACCACTGATTTAGGACATACAGAAACATCCAAAATAAGAGAGGGAAAGGAATTATTCTGATACTTAATGAGGATCCTTTCCTGAAGAAAGAACAAGCTAGACTTGATTGCTTCCATGGAATCTCTTTCTCCTATTGTTATGTGACCAATGGCTAGGAGCAGTGGTGGTTCTCATTTGCATTGCAATAGCAGCAGCTTGAGGCCTCAGTTAGCCACTAGGTTTTTTGCACCCATACGTGATCTGATTGGCCATGTGTAGACGAAACGAATGTTAATGAGAATGGGGGCAGCTCACAACATTGGCCAATATCAAAAGGCAACCCCAGCTGCCTATAGCTTATGATCCTAAAGACAAGCCTTCACAGGTGGGCAGTAGATATAGCACTTGACTTAGCCTCAGGAAGAATCACCTCTGTTTCCAGGTCTGCTATTGATTTGCTTCGTGACTTTGAGAAAGTCACTTCCTCAGTTTCCTCTGCCATCCTTTGCCTTGGACTGTATTTAGATTGTAAGAAGCTCTTTGGGACAAGTTCTCTCTTTTACTACGTCTGTGTGTGCAGCAGGCCTTTATGCACTGCTGTAATACAAGTAACACTAAAAGAAAAGGCAGAAAGCAGGGCTTTGGTGGCACATTATAGCCTAACCTGTTCAGAGAGGCTGTACAAATCTACAACATCAAATATTATGCTTCATCTGACAAAGTTGGCTGTAGCCTGAAAAATTTCATGCTGAGTTATTCTCTAAGGTGCTGCTCTGCCCAGCCTTCTGCCTGACTTCAGACTAACACAGCTAACTTCCTCTCTCTATTTAAGGAATATTAAGGTTGCAAAATCAAGCATTTATATCTTAGGAAATGCCAGGGTTATGGTTGTCTGTCCTTACTGCCTGCAGTCCAGGGGTGGGGCATGATCCGAGCAGCTGGCATCTTTAGAAAACACAGTTACCAAACTAGGAAAAATCTTAGTTCTCACATGCTCAATACAGACTCATTTTGAGGCACATAACTTGGCCCGCTGTAGGTGGATTTTCACAGCAAAAGGCACATCTCTTGCACCAGAGTGGCCCCTTTCACCAAATTTCATGTCCCTGCTTCAATGCATGGGCATATTAGAGCTTCTCAGTGAAACACAGAAGCCCATAAGAATTTAATGTGGACCAAGCACCCTCTTTTCCTCAGATCTTTTTTTTTTTTTTTAAATGGCTGAACAATTTTATTTGAAATTTCCCTGTCCATTCAAAAAAAAGAACCGAGACTGAGGGAGACACCCAGCATGGAAAATTTCAGTCAACATCATTAAAATTTAACAAAATTATAAGCAATGCTTAACAGAGTCTTGTAACAAAAAGCATTGGGCAGCCTCAATAATACTTCTTCTGCCTTTAATGACACATTCAGTTGAGCAGGGTGGCATGGGACAGTCTTGGTAACACAATTGCTATAATATGTTGGAAACTGCAATAGAAGCAAGTGGGAAGGGACCAATACAGTGTAGTCTCTTGCCTGAGATTTGTAGAAGTACTGGGAACAGACAGCTTCTTCCTAGTGAATAGCAACCCTTCATGCTTCATTCCAGACAGCAAATTTCTAGCAGGGGGATAAAGGCACTGACAGACAGAATTGCCCACAACCCTCTTTGACTTGCCATGAGTGTAGTTGTTACCTGCGCTTGTATCCCACGAGAGACTTGATTAGTTTCTGAACCTGTGTGTTTCCTCTCATTTTGCTGAGTTCACTGGTAAATATGCCATCTGCATGCCGCTGATATCTGCGGTTCAGGAAAGAGAAAATAAATTTGCTTGCCCCAAGGCTCTCTGTTCTACAGGACTTCAGTTGATCTGGTAATTGCTTCACAGCTCTGGCTGGGCTGTTACAAACGGCATACAGATGCACTCCTCCTCTGAACCCGGTCTAGGGGACTTTATCCAGAGGATCAGAACTTAAAGGTTGTGTCTCTTGTGTGCATCTGTTTAATTCTGCACTGCCGAGTGTAGCTGAAAAAATATGTTTTCAGAGTGACATATGGATTAGTCTGTATGGCATATGCTCAGGACAGCTGTTCATATTCAGAAAGGCTGATCTAATCCCTCTCCCCCCTGCAATAACTTGGTCTAGCAGCATGCATTTTGAAGAGGGGTTAAATGGTGCATCCCTCTCTCTTGCTCCTTGGATTGTTTTTATTAGTGGCTTTTAAATGTTGGCATCTATATTTAAGCAATGGGCATTGGGCTAGACCGAAGCAATGCACCTTGCCCTGGGTGAAGGGCAATGCACAGCTATACTGCCTCTGGAGCAGAGAAGGGAGTGAGCTGCCCTCGCTGCTGGTCTCTGCTATTAACAGTCTAGCTAGCTCCACTCTCTGCATCAGCTCAGCTGAACTGTCCTTTCCCCAAGGAGTAGAGCCAAGGTTGCACTCACCTCCTGCTCCTATTCCCTCACCTGCACAGGAATGGGAGTAGGGGCTCTGCCAGAAGCAGCTCTCCCACCAGTGCTGTGACCCCAAATGGCGGCATCCCCTGCAGGAAAGTGAGGGAGCTCCTGGCTTCTGATTAGCACAGTGGTTGCTCCTACATATCCCAGTCCTGGAGGAGATCCCATCCTGTGCCAGATATACTGTACGCACAAACAGTCCCTCCCCAAAGAGCTTACAGTTTCCGTGATAATCTTGTGGCCCCTTACTGCCCTGTGCAGGCACACGCAGCAAGTGGTGATCTATCCCCATTGTTCTTACATGTTGTGAAGAGGAGACAACGACTGACTGTTTTTTCCTTGTTGCCTCAGGTCTGTAAATGTTCCACTCCTGAACACCCGCATTCACACTGGGACCCCTGGGGCAGATGATCTCTTCCTCTCTCCCAAGGCTGTGCCAAATTCCCCTATGGGCCCCACCACAAAAAGACTCCACATCCACACACCACCCAGTGCCCCACATGTGCCAACCATCCCCTCCCTGCTCCCTATTCCCCCGAGAGCCTTTCGGGAGCCAGCCCTGCACGGCGGGCACCTGAACTCTCTCGTGTCAGAGGTGGCTGCATATGAGAGTTTGGCTCCTGCTGTGTTTTGGCTGGGTTCTTCCTTTCATAGATTCATAGATTCATAGATTTATAGATGTTAGGGTCGGAAGGGACCTCAATAGATCATCAAGTCCGACCCCCTGCATAGGCAG